AAACAACTTTAACAGCTTTAGTTGGGCAGTAAAGGGTATCGCTTGAACTGCAAACGTTCTGCACTCATTGATGGCTAACACAGTACAATCCGAGTCTACTCCTTCATAATACACATCAACTGATGTGCACAAATGTGACCACTAGAGGGAGACATTTAACAAGCTGATAGTAGTCAAAAGGATTCATATGTATCGGTCACTGCAAATCTCCCCCACCTACTCTTTAAGTGGGAGAAGACTGGTCAGAAAATACCTGTTGACGTGCCAGAAATCCAGGGAAGCTTTACTTTTCTCTAATGAGCTGATGGTGCTGTCTGTGCTGCACTAAAATACCAAGCAGTGTTGTCAGTCATGAGTTCTCCCCTGCTACTACAGAACACCACCCCTTTTACGTTATGGAGATGAGCACAGGGAATGTGTTTTGTAGACCAGCAGGGGCTTGGCAGGGCTGATCACACTGCTTAGGATTCCAGTGCGGCAAAGGCAGAGGTGTCAGGTCACTACAGGAAGTTAGGAGGTCACTGGATTTCTGGCAGATGAACAGATATATTATATTTGTGTACTTGCAGCACTTTTAAAGAGACAAAACATACATGTGCTGCATATGGTTTTTCTCCAGACATGTACTGTAAATGTAACTTACCAGGAATTGCATTCTCCAGGATGTATCCTTTGAATACTGGTTGAGAAAAGATCGGACGGTTGTCATTTTGGTCCAGAACAGCAATCTCTAAATCAGTAGGGTCTTCGAGGGGAACTCCATCGCTGTCCAATGCAAATGCACGAAGCTGGGGGACAAAAACAGGTGGATTTACTAAGCGGGTAAGGGACGTGTCTACATTTTATGAATGGCTTATCTTTACAAGGAACCCCTGGATTCTGGGTACTGGCCAACATGCAAAAAGCAAGGAGGGAGGAAAAACAGACCAAGGTTAAGGGAAGTGCTGTGGAGTGAATTGAGTTATATCAACTGGAGCAAACTAGAATCAGCCATGCTACCAGTAGCAACCAATCCGGCGTCAGTTTCCATTGTGGTACCAGAAAGCTGGGAGCTTAAATTGGATTGGCTGCCCAGGAGAGCTGCTTAGCTTCAGTTTGTAGTACAGTAGAAACAATGACTGACACACTGTAACATTCAATACCTTGAAGCGTTCTATCTTCTCACGATCCAGCACTGCATTCAGGTACACAATTCCAGTTGTTTTATTGATATTAAAGATTCCTTTAGGCTCCTCATCTACTCCGGGCCCCTTGATGCTGTATATGACACTTCCCAAATACTGCTTGTCTGACTTAATCTGAAGTTGGAGAAAGGCAGAACAGAACATTAATACCAGTGATCACAATGCAAGAATATGCAGTTAAAGGTGGAACTCCAGCTGCATACACTGTTGTATCTATCTAAGGATTTAGGAATTCCAGCCTGTGATCGGACACCCTGTGATCGGACACCCTGTGATTGATGTGACCTGTCAAGCAATGTAATAGGCATGTTCCCACTGACCCCCAATGCAACCAATGTAAGATACATTCTTCCCACTGAACCCCAATGCAACCAATGTAAGGGACATTCTTCCCACTGACGCCCAATGCAACCAATGTAAGATACATTCTTCCCACTGAACCCCAATGCAACCAATGTAAGGGACATTCTTCCCACTGAACCCCAATGCAACCAATGTAAGGGACATTCTTCCCACTGACGCCCAATGCAACCAATGTAAGGGACATTCTTCCCACTGACGCCCAATGCAACCAATGTAAGGGACATTCTTCCCACTGACACCCAATGCAACCAATGTAAGGGACATTCTTCCCACTGACCCCCAATGCAACCAATGTAAGGGACATTCTTCCCACTGACCCCCAATGCAACCAATGTAAGGGACGTTCTTCCCACTGACCCCCAATGCAACCAATGCAAGATACATTCTTCCCACTGACACCCAATGTAAGGGACATTCTTCTCACTGATCCCCAATGCCACCAATGTAAGGGACATTCTTCCCACTGACTCCCAATGTAACCAATGTAAGGGACATTCTTCCCACTGATCTCCATTGTAACCAATGTAGTAGATATGCTTCTCACTGACACAAACCAATGTAATGGTCATTCTTCACATTGACCCCCAAATCAACCAATAAAAGGAACATTCTGCCCACTGATCCCCAATACCTCCAATGTAAGGGGTATACTTTCCTATGACACCCATTGTAACTAATGTAAGGTAATTTTTACCACTAACCACCAATATAAATATTGGAGGGGGCATTCTTTCAACTGCTACCAATGTAACCAATATAAGGGTATTCTCCCCACTTACCTCAAATGCACCAAATTTAAATGGGCAATCTTCCCACTTCCTTAAATGTAAGGGGAAATTTCCCCACTGACCACCAATGTAACAAATATAAGGGGCATTCTTCCCACTGACCAATCGTAAAAAGGCAAACAAGTCCAGTCTTTAGGGTAGCAGCAGACCCAACTTAGTGCTGTATAAAGCATGTTTCTCCCATGCAGCTCACATACACATTTCATACCGCTCTCCTATACGCTTCATACCTGTACGACATGAGAGGGGATGTTCTTCAAATTCTCTGACACTGAGATAGTAGGGATCACCCAGGCTCTCTTAAACCTCTGCATCCCAGCCATGTACCCTCTCCATGGATACAACAGGGGCACGTCTTGTGTGAGCTCTTCCTGAGACGTTGTGCTGGTGACCTGCAGGAGAAGAAAGAATTAAAGAGCTGAGACCAAAGGCCCGATTTCCTAAATGTAGAGAAGGGGGACCAGACACTTGGGTTCTGACTGGTTGCTATGGTCAGTGCAGGCTGTGCTTGCTTTGGACCTCTGCGTTGCCTATAGAAAACAGTCAGATGATCTATTCATTCTTTTAATCTGCACTAGAACACAAGGGACATATGGACTGGGGACACCAAGGAAATGTCAAGAATGTTTTGTTTGTTAAACTTGCTGGGAAACAAATGTGTCTCCAATTATCTATGGTTTGACTATCCTGTGCAATGAGGACCTGTCTCCTTCATATAGAACAGTGGTTCTCAACCTTTCTAGGGCCAGTACCCCTTGCTAACATATGCCAAGTTGTGGTGACCCCGACGGTAAACTTTAGGGATGCACCAATACTAGTATCTGTGCAGGCTCTCTGGAGGCTGTGCGGGCTCTCAGGTAGTCAGTGTGGCTCTGTGGTGACCAGTGCAGGCTCTCTAACGGTCAGTGTGGCTCTGTGGTGGCCAGTGCGGGCTCACAGGTGGCCAGTGCGGGCTCTGTGGTGGTCAGCGCGGCTACTGATAGATCACTGGCACTCCCCTCACTTCCACCAGCTCCCTGAGGAGCTTCTCACTTAGCGCAGCACAAGGCACGGGAGACCCCCTCAACTGTGGGTTGTGACCCGCAGGTTGAGAACCACTGATATAGAAGCTTAGCATCTTGGGAGCAGTCAGGGGGTCTGCAGCACTCATTCAAATATTGCCAGGTTGTCCTGTCATAAAAATCCTTGTTTAGGGTGACAACGCTCTGTACCTGTTTCCCAGTTATTCTCCTACATTGTCACCCTATCACACAGGCACGTAGACAGGAGGTTGCTGCAAAGATACTGTAGGAGATCAGTCATACTGAAATGCAATTGAGGGGGAAAAAAAGTAGAAAATAAGTAGTTTAAAAAAATGTCAGCTGTATATTACATAACGATTTTTGCAAACCAAGTCTGATTCACTAAGGGTTTATCTTTTATTAGTGACCGGCTGCATGACGTAGACCTTGTGTCTGTGGACAGATTCTCTTAATTTTTTAGTAAATATAAAACCTAAAAAAAAGCAGATTAGGTTGCCAAAGATAACCGAACCTAGCAACACAACAATTAGAGATTTTTTGCATTTGCAGGTAAGGAGCCCCAAAACCAGCGATGTCCGCGCGGCTATCTACTTTTGTAGGACTGTCACATAGTATCTGATGAGATATGGCAATCTCAGGTTAGCTGGGTGTCCCAATGACAGTACAGTATAGGACACAGGGCGCCATATGTGCTCAGGGAACAGCTGCATGGAGCTACCAGGTGTCACAACACTGGTACCCAGGAGACCACATGAGCCTCTTAGACTGAGTGTAGGCAGGTGCTCCCAGACACCATCCATACCATGCACAGAGCGGGAGCCCACTATAATCTTACCAATGACAACTGGAACAGGTGTAGACTGCAGGGAAGAAAGAATTTGTCTTGCCAGATCTTCTGTCGGCACACTGACAATGAGAAAAGCTCACAGTTGGAGCAGTCTCCAAACTCTAATACAACATTTGAAGTATATCCTCTTTTATGTGCCACCGGGGAGATTTTCTTTCCCTTTCAGTGACAATATTGGGAAAAATTATTGAACTTCCTGTCCTGTAGACCCAAGAGGACATGAGAGGAAAGCTTCAAATGAGGGAAGCACCCTTTTAAGGAGGTGTCACGACGTGTCTGTTTGACATGATGTTCAAATCTAAGAAGTTGTGGGATGATGAAGCATTATCTGCCTCCATCTTTTCATCATTGCCTGATTGATCTCTGATGGTGGTAGTTTGGTGTGATCTCTACTATCGGGGTTTTGGATATCCTAAAATGTTCTACTTTTCTTTTTCCTTTCCTAGTATGCTTGTTCTCCCTCTTTACCTCCCACTTGTCCTGCATTTTTCTTCTTTTATGGTCTTTGGGTTGCTTTGCCGTCCTGGCAATGGCTCACAGAGAAGATTCTATTGGCTGATTCCGCTCTGGATGCCACTGCTATTGGATTTTGTGTACTGTATTACATTTTGTTATTCTGTATTTGTATCCAGATGCCCTATTCTGTGACTATTCTGGGATCTTTATTCCTTCTTAGCCCTTATTCACACGGGTAATGGCCGGCCCGTACAGATCCATGCTGCGTGCACGGTTCTATCGGGCAACTCCTGGGAAAAGACAGGTGCTGCGTGTGATTTGTACACAGCAGCCTGCCTTATGCTCACACGAACTGCCCATCATGTCTGCTCGGACGCACACAGGATCCATCATGTCAGCTTACGAGTATGGACACCCGCACAGACGAGTAGTTCGGGTGAGCATAGGGCGGCATACGGCCACATACTCCCATAGAGAAGGACAGGCTGCTGCGTGTAATCACACGGGAGCGGCCCGATGCGGCTGTGCACGCAGCACGGATCTGTACCGACCGGCCGTTTCGTGTGTGAATGAGGGATTATTGTTATTGTCTATATTCCATGTTGGAATTTTATAAACTTCTAATAAAAACTTTTTGAATGTCACTGGTGCAGGAAGTGTCTACTTTGAAAGATTTCCCGTCTTATAAAGTGGAGGTGACAGCTCAGCAAAACTAAAAATCTGGAAGAGGTGGGGTGCTGGGCTCTGTTTTGAATGAATATTTCAGGTCAATGTTTGATTGGCTTATTGTTAGGTCCAGGCAGCTCTTTGGTGTGCCATAGTCCTAAACCAGAGTCTATGAGTAAAAAAGGATGAGCGCGCCACAAGGTTTCTGATCCAGATCTGAGTCCAGATCCACATAGTCCATGGGTGCCGACAGATGTCTGAATATAATAGCTGGCAGTGCAGATTCCTCCATCCATGCCTATTGGTATTATGATGTAATGGGCGGCCTTAAGTCCCAGTTTCTCATGCTTAGCCTGTCAATTGAACATGAGAATATCAATTGATTGCCCCATCCCCACTAATAGCATGGATGAAGGAATCTCCACTGCCGGCCACTGTATTTAGACACCTGCAGGCGCCTGAATATAGTGGCATGGCTCAATGGTGACGGCATCTGATAGGACGCAGTCACTGGTCAGCCGATAATGTTCCACCAAGCTTAGTTGTTTTTTGAATTATTATTATTATTATACAGGATTTATATACAGTTTGTGCAGCGCTTTACAATATAAGGAAGACATTACAATTACAATTCAAGACAAGATGGTAAGGAGGGTCCTGCCCCTGAGGGCTTACAATCTAATTCAACATTTGTTGAGCCGGGTAGGGCTTGCAGGGCCACCCACTGCATGAGAAATTTGGGCCATCCATGGCTGGTCTTACTGACTAAAAGGGACTTGGGAACTGTAAAAAGTGAAGGTAGGGGGGGGAGGGAGCTTTACTTTTACAAGAAAAGTCAAGATTTGCATATAACTTCATCTGTCTGTCTGTTCATATCTACTGACGGTTTTACCATTAACCCTTTCTCATGTGTTATTACACCATTGCGCAGGTTTCTATGAAGGAGTCTTTCTTTTCCATCTCATCAGGGTGGGGGGCTCCACTAGAGAAAATCCCAAACCTGCTATAATATTGATCGCTTGCTTCTGGCTCTGGCATTGTAAGACACACCAGCTGTTGTGGAGTTACAAGTCCCAGACGTGACTACAGGGCACATTATGGGCTTCCCAAGTGCCGCGTAAAGTTTTATTGTGAGACTGGAGCTCTCCCTTAATTCAGCCCAGGTGGACGTAATAACCAAATAAGTAGATAAACTGAAGCCAAAGAGAAGCAGCAGCACCGAAGCGCCGAGTCCATCACACCCCGAGATGTGTTATATCAGAAGCAACCTCAGCAACAGCTGTGACATTAAATTACAAATCCCATAATCCGACATACACTTAGCTGTATATAAGTGACACAAGGGCCCAATGATGGTGGGTCACCATGATCGCAGTTATGGGAAAGAATTGCCTCAGACAGTGTATTGTGACAGATTGTAGCCAATCAGATTCTCCCTTTCATTTTTCCAGTGAATGGAGAACTAAAGGAAGGATTTGATTTGTTTGCTTTGGGTAATGCAGACTGAGACCACAATACATTGCTGATGATGCGAATCATAATGCCGTCTTTGTATATGTCTCCATCATGGGAGAAGAGCAGCAAATGAGCACCTTGACATCACAAGTGTCCTCTGCAAATGCTAGTTGCCTGGCTATCTTTATCATTGATGCTTTCTAAATAACTGACTTGAAACAATGACTCAGAAAGCACTGAAGCCAATGGACAAGCATGGTCATCAAAATAGCAGCATTTCCTGCATTAGAGCTTTATCATAGGTAATATGATGCAGGTATAATACTGTCTGTAGAGATTAAGGGGATGATTTATAAATCATTTGCCCTGCCCTGCTCTGACCAAATGCTGTTCTTGCAGCATTCTCGCCACTAGATGGAGCCGAGGCACAGACAATTCCTATGCTCCTCGGCTCCATCTAGTGGTGAGAATTCTGTGCGAACAGGATTCATCCAGCGAAGTGCTGGGCGAATAATTTATCCCCTACCTGTATGAGCTGCCCATAGAACCTAGTCAAACTCATTTTATTAGAGCAGGCTTGCAAATAATTGTAAAATTCTGATTGCTTGTTTTTGGCAATACAGATCTTATGATTGCAGAGGAAAGTATGTTTGGTTTTTATGAAGAACTCCATTAAGCATTGTCAGAATCTTTATTTGTCACAAAACCTCATATCATTTTTTGGTGTCTCCATGAATTGAAGGATGGCCTTAACATAGCAAGTGCAACCAATGCAAGACGTTGGGGTTAAAAGAGAACTATGGGGTCAGTGTTTTCCCCCATAGTTCTCCCCAGGGTCACGGGAGGACATGAACTAGCGTCCTCCCGTGACCCAAAGTTCAGTATATCACGAGCTACAGCTCGCGGTATACTGAGACCGCTGTAGCCGGGACGGATCCTGACATTACTGTCGAGATCCCACCAGCTGCGTGAGTGACAGCGGGCTCTGCCTACCTACTAGAGGAGGGGGATCCCTGCAGGGAGCCGTGAGTGACAGTCACAGCTCTCTGCAGGGACATGATCGAGAAGTGAGCGAGCGACGGTATGTGTTCGCTCACTTCCCGATCTATTGAGCCGACGTGTGACAGTTTCATTGTCACACATCGGCTTGAACTGTGAGGATAAGTGATTTTAACTCACCTCATAGTTCTCCTTTAAATCTCCTCAAAGGGAAAACAGACAGGATAAAACCTAACAGAGGTTCTAACCCTTCCTATCCTGTGTGAGCTAAAGAGTTTTGGCTGGAGTTGGGCGTTAACTTGCACCCTCCTGGTCCTGATTAGACATATGCAATTCGTTTAGTTCCAAATTGAAATTCGTACGAATTTCTGTATATTTGGACACTCGGATGCATCTGAATTTCCGAATGACAGAAATAATGAATCTGAAAGAATCCGAATGTTTGATAACGAAATTTCATTCGGAAACGAGACACAACAAGCGGGAGAGCTGTGTGCCATTTACCGCTCTCTAGCTTCTCTGCACTTGTATATCAAATGAAAACAAAGAAACAGAATATTGTTACAAAATGTAAATAATGAAAGCTGAGAGATCTGTGTTATTCTGTAACAGCTTCTGCTTCTTGGAGGACACTTCATCCCAATGTAAAGAATCTGACAGCTGTCACAGAATACACCAAAGTGTTTAACTGTTCACAGAAATAATTTAAAAAAAAACATTGTGGGGTCCCTTTAGGTCTGGTAGGAACGTTAGGGGGGATCCCATGTAAAAAACAAAAAAATATAGTGTGCGGTTCCCCGGCAATTCATACCAGACCCTTTAGGTCTGGTAGGAATTATAAGGGGAACACCAATGCCCAAAACGTTTAAAAAAAATTTAAATTTAAAAATGGGGCCCCCGTAAAATCCCAGGTCCACTCCTCTGGGACTGACAGAAGGCAGTGGTTGGAGCAATAGCCAGCTTGCTATTGGTTATTGCACTTTGACAATTTTTTTTCAATTGTCAGCAGATGCTGGAAATGTATTTATTAATAATAATTTATAATATTTATTAATGTTTATATAGCGCTGACAATTTACGCAGTGCTTCACATAGAACACATTCGCACCAGTCCCTGCCCTCAAGTGACTTTGTGGGAACTTTAATTAAAACAATTTTGAATAAAGGAATTGTCAAAAATTTGTGTTTTGACTTTTGTTGAATTAAAGGAATTTGAGTGTTGAGTGTTTATTTACATTTTATATAACCCTTTAGCGAATGAGTAGGGGTACAAGTACTCTTACTCATTCACATGGGGCGGTGGCATGCAGATGAGCCCCCTTGCCCACAGACCCCCTCAACCACCAGGTCAGGGTTGTGGGGAAGAGGCCCCATTGTTTCCAAGGGGTGGAAAAGCAACCTCCCAATGCCGAAGGCATGTGGTATGGTGGAGGGAGGGGGGTGCTTGCTCGTCCCCCCCTTCCAGGCTGGATTTTAGGGGGCGACCACACATTTTTTGGGGGTGTTGGGGATTCCCTTTAAATTCCTACCAGTCCTAAAAAGGTATTTTGTTAATTGCAGGGGAACCGCACAATGTTTTTTTCTTTTACATCCCTGCCAGACCTAAAAGGTCTGGTATGAATTGGGGGGGACCCCACGCTGTGTTTTTTTATTGTTTATGGTGTCAGAAATTTCTGCAACAAATTTTAGTTGGTAATGGTCATTTAACTCATCTATGTAACTCATCCGAAATTAAACTCATTTAACTCAAAACGAAATGAAACTAAACAATTTTTTTGCTGGCTTCCATGTCTAGTCCTGACTGGTCCCTCTCTGCCCTAGGCCCCATAGCAGCAGTGTGGACTGCTATGATGGTAGCTCCGCCAGTGACTTGCAAGTCTCCCCTTGATACTCCACCCTGTACATGTCATTATTTGTCCCTCATACAGATATTTACACTGCTGTCAGCCAGGAAAGCCAAATGGCCGTGTCAGAGAGGTCAGGAATGCAGGAAGAGCCATATGTTGAAGCTGATCCACCATGGCTGTCATCAGACTGTAATTCAGATGACCAAACACTCTTGATGGAAACGACAGAGTAGAAGTAAACACAGACGTTTAATTATTCTAACATTCACTTTAAATTAATTATTGACAACATTTTCCATCCTTACCCTCTTGCTGTGCCGCACTTTACCATATTTAAAAAAATAAATTTCATATACAGAATTGTAAAGGCTCCTTTTATCAGTCATCTGTGTTTCCGGGACTGTGGTCATCACTCCTACATAA